TTTTTTCAAGCCCAGCTAGTATCTTTAAAGTCATGATTCTGAACTCTAGGTCCGACATCACACTAATGTCCGTATTGAGTAGGTCCCTGGCAGACGGTACTACCTCTTGGTTTTTTGTTGAGGTGATTTTTTTCGTGTTGTCATTTTTGGACATAAGTTTTGAACTCAATTGGCTAAATACCTAGGAGCACGATTACCGGATTTTATGGTTCAACTATGTTTAGCTTTGTCAGAAACTGCCAAAATGCCTTTCAAAATGGTTGTATCATTTTCCATTCCAAACAGCGATGAATGAGAATTCCTGTTGCTCCATATCCTTGTCAACATTTGGTATTTTAGATTTTTTTTCCTGTTCTAATGCGTATATAATGTTATCTCATTGTTGTTTTAATTTACAATTCCCAAATGACATATGATTCTGAGCATCATTTCATATGCTATCTTGCCATCTGTATATCTGCTTTGGTGAGGTGTCTTTTCAGATCTTATGCCCATTTCTTCTTCTTTTTTTTTTTTTTTTAAAGATTTTTCTATTTGACAGAGAGCAAGAGAGCACAAGCAGGAGGAGTGGCAGGCAGAGGGAGAGAGAGAAGCAGGCTCCCCGTGGAGCAGGGAGCCCAACATGGGGCTTGATCCCAGGACCCCAGGATCAAGACCTGAGTGGAAGGCAGATGCTTAACCCATGGAGCCACCCAGGCACCTCTTTATGCCCATTTCTTTTTTTTTTTTTTAATGCCCATTTCTTAATTGAGTTGTCTACTTATTGTTGAATTGTAAGAGTTCTTTGTAAATTTTGAATATAATCCTTTATATAAATGTGATTTGCAAATATTTTTCCAGGTTTTGGGCTCTGTGGTTTTTTTTTTAGCAGTCTTTTTCACAGAAAAATTTTTATTTTTAATATAGTCCAACTTACCAGTTTTTTGTTTTGGATTCTTCTTTTAGTGTTGTATCTAAAAAAATCATTTCCAAACCCAAGGTCACCTAGATTTTCTCCTCTGTCATCTTCTAGAAAGTTTATGATTTTATGTTTTAAGTTTAGGTCCACAATCCAGTTGAGCTAATTTTTGTGAAAGGTGTAAGGTCTGTCTAGAGTAATTTTTTTTTTGCAGGGGGGATGCCTCATTGCTCCAGCACCATTTGTTGAAAAGACAGTCATTGCTGTACCGCATTGCCTTTGCTTATCTGTCATGGATCGGTTGAGTATATTTGTGTGGGTTTTTTTCTGGGTTCTCTATTATGTTTCGTGGATCTTTGTGTCTGTTTTTCATCAGTTCCATGCTGTCTTGATTACTGTAGCTTTATATAGTAAGGTAGAATCAGTCCTCCAACATGGTTCTTCTCCTTCAATATTGAGTTGATTATTCTGGGTCTTTTGCCTTTCCTTATAAACTTTAGAATCAGTGGAACTGACATCTTAACACTATTGAGCCTTCCTATCCATGAATAATGCCTATGTGTACATTTACTTAGATCCCTGATCCCTTTCACCAGTTTTGTAATTTTATCTATCTATCTATCTATCTATCTATCTATCTATCTATCTATCTATCATCTATCTCTCTATCTATCATCTATCAGGTTTTTATTTAAATTCCAGTTAGTTAACATACAGTGTACAATATAGTGAATCAACACTTCCATACAATACCTGGTGCTCATCACAACAAGCACATTCATTAATCTCCATTACCCATTCCACCCATCCTCCCATCCCCCTTCCCTCTGGTAACCATCAGTCTGTTCTCTACAATTAAGAGTCTGTTTCTTGGTTTGCCTCTCTTTTTCTTCCCCTATGATTGTTTGTTTTGTTTCTTAAATTCCAGATATGAGTGAAATCATATGGTATTTGTCTTTCTCTGACTGCCTATTCCTTATTTAGACCCTATACAGATTTTGTTGGATTTCTACCCATGTATTTCATTTTTTGTGTGCTCGTGTGAATGGTATTGTTTTAAATTTCAAATTCCAATGTTCATTGCTGGAATATAGGAAAGTAATTGACTTCTGTATATTAATTTTAACTTGCAACTTTGCTATAGTAGTCTCTTATTGTTTCCAGGAGTTTTGTTTTTATTGTTTCTTTGGGATTTTCCATATAGACATTGATGTCATTAGAAAACAAAGACAGTTTTATTTTCTCCTTCCAAATCTATATACTCTTTTATTTCCTTTTCTTGTGTTATTTCAAACTAGCTAGGTTTTCCAGGATGATGTCAAATAGGAATGGCAAGAGGGGATATCATTGCCTTCTTTCCAGTCTTAGAGACAAAGCATCCAGTTTCTCTCCTTAAGTATGATGTTAGCAATAGGATTTTTGTACATGTTCTTTAGTAAGTTGAGGAACCCTCTATTCCTAGTTTGCTGAGTTTTAATCATGAATTGTTGTTGGATGGTTGCCTGGGTGGCTCAGTCAGTTAAGTGTTTGCCTTCTGTGATCGAGCCCCACGGTGGGCTCCCTGCTCAGCAGAAAGTCTGTTTCTTCTTCTCCCTCTGCCTCTCCCCCTGCTTGTGCTCTCTCTCTCTGTGTCAAATCAATCAATCAATCAAATCTTAAAAAAAAAAGAATGGCTGTTGGATGTGTCTTATGCTTTTCCTGTATCTATTGAGAGGATCATATGATTTTTCTTCTTTAGCATATTAATGTGCAAATTATGTTCATTGGTTTTCAAAAGTTGAACCAGACTTGTATGCCTGGAACAAATCCTGCTTTGCTGTAGTGTATCCTTTTTTGTACATTATTAGATTTGGTTGATAATATTTTGTTGAGATTTTTTTTCCATAGTTCATGAGACTATCTTATGTGACAGCTGGTGCGTGTTTCCACTTCCCACCCTTTTCCAGCACTCCTAAGAATACTTGAAATATGCAACAGACACATTCTGGCTAATCCATTTGCTAGCACTTTTACTACCAAGTCCCTAGAAAAGAACATCCCATTGATAAGAAGTAACAAGTATTAAATCCATCCATGATGAGAATTAAAACTGTCTGTCTTCAGTATGAGTTGGTAGATGGCTGTTACCTCATTCATGTTGGGTAAAGATGTCAGATGCATTTGCATCTGGGGCCTGACTGGTCTCTATTGGGTATTGCCTCAGGCAGTCTTCCTGGTTCTTTCATATGCCCAGAAGCCTCAAATATGCCCAGAAGCCTCAAATCACCTCCAAGCAACTCTGCCAGTAAGGCAAATCCTCAGAACAAAGCTTTCTGTGCAACTTTGAAATCAGACCCTCACACCTTTTATTCATAATAGAAGAAAAAGAGGTGAAAACATGATTCTTTTTCATTGTTTTCATCTCCTCTGGGACTAGTGTAGTCGTCTTCTCTCAGTTCGCATCTAGCTTGTCAGAATCATTTCCATTATTGCTTAAAGTCTCTCTTTTCCAGTGAGCACAGAATATCGTCTTTTCAAAAATCCATTCTGACAATCTTTATCTTCTAATTGCTATGTTTACACCTTTTACATTAAATGTCATTTTGGTAAATTTTGGAATTGTCTATTCTGTTTTCTCTTTCCTGCTGTCTTTTAGAATTTATTCTTTTAGTGTACCATTTTAATTTATCTATTGGCTTCTTAATTATATGTATTTTGTCCATTTCTTTTAGTGGCTGTGCTATGGGTTAAAATATATGTGTGTAACTTTAAAACTATTTAGAGTTAATATTTTACCACATCACCTTACAGCCCCATATATCCTTTTCCCCTTTCCCCTACCCAGTGTAGTCACCAGTTCTATTACATCTACATGTATTGAGTACTCCACCAAACTGTACTATAATTTTTTGCTTTTCAACAGTGATGAATTTTTTGAAAACTTAAGAGGAGGAAAATATTTTATTATATTCACCCAGATATTTACAATTATCTTCTATTCCTTTCTGGAGTTCCAAATTTCCCTCTGATATCATTTCCCTTCCACCCAAAGAACGTTTGTACTTTTTTTAGAGCAGGTCAACAAATTCAATTGGTTTTCTTTCATCAAAGAATGTCTTTATTTTCATTCCTGAAGGATATTTGTACTGATATAGAATTCTGGTTTGCCAGTTTTTTTCCTTTAACACTTTAAAAATGTTGTGCCACTGCCTTCTGGCTTTATTGGTATCTAATGAAAAATCCAGAGTCATTCAAAGCATTTTTTACCTTATATGTAATGTACCTTTTTATTTATTTATTTGGGGGTTGCTTTCAAGATGTTTTTCTTATCTTTGGTTTTTAGCAGTTTTATTATGTGTATAAGTATACTCTTTTAAAAAAAAAGATTTATTTATTTATTTGAGAGAGAGCAAGAGAAAACGTGAGTGGGGGGGTGCAGAGGGAGAGGGAGAGAGAATCTTGAGCAGACTCCACACTAAGTGTGGAGCCCAACATGGGACATGATCCCAGGACCCCAAGATCACAACCTGAGCAGAAACCAAGAGTTGAATGCTCAACCAGCTATGCCACTGAGGTGTCCCTGAGTATACTTTGCTTTGAGCTTATCTTTGACTTTGGGGTTCCTTAAACTTCTTGAATCTATAAATTAATATCTTTCACCAAATTCGAGGAATTTTCCACCATTATTTCTTTAAGTTATTTTTTCTGTGCCAACTCTTTCTCCACTCCATCAGGGATTCCAAAGATATAAATATTAGATATTTGACACTGTCTCACAGGTTCCTGAGGCTTTGGCCACTTTTAAATTTGTTTTCTGTGTGTGGTTCTAATTGGATCATTTCAATTGTGTTAGTTTTAAAACTGAATTCTGTGATTTCCTTGTTGGCATTCAGCCCATGCAGTGAATATTTTATTTCAGTTGTAATGTTTTTCAGTTTTACACACCTTGTATGTGTGTGATTCCTATGTAATGAAAAACTGGAAATAGCATCATAAGTCATAATTTGGTATGATAAGAGTATTATTCACCTTAAAATCTAATAAGCTATTTTTGCAAACTTCTAGATTTCAAATGAGGGGAAAATGCCTTATACGCCTTCATAATAGTACATTCTGTATGGTATGTATAGCCAATAACCTATCGATTTAACACTTGTTACATGATTTAGAGGATGTTTTGAAGATTATTGAAGATGAAGGCTTTAAAATACTGATGCAAAGGCAAATTGTATTATCAGAAGAGGAAGCACAAACACTGTGCAAGGAATATGAAAATGAAGATTATTTTGGAAACCTTATAGAAAAAATGACCAGGTAAAGTAGAGTTCAGGTTTAGAAGGCACAGTCTGATTTCGTTTTGAATCATTTAGGTCTTCTTTTGACCCTGCCCTGGTCAGGTTGCCACACCTCTCCGTTCTGTAAACATGTGCTCAGTCTACTTCTTTGCCAGTCTCATTCCTATCTCAATTCTCTGCTCAACTGTCCATTTTCTCTCATCCTCCCGGAATGTTACTGGAGCAATGGAAAGGCCTGGGTGAAGTTACTGGAGTCCATTGAGTTGAATGCTAGAAATCCAAGGTGTGTAACATTAAATCCAAGCAGAGAACATACTGAGTCTCAAGGGCTTTGTTGATCCTGAAGATCACTAGTTCTAGGAGAAGACTGAGGTACTAGAAATCTGTCATGTTTCTAGAAGAGTAAGTGAAATAGCAGCTGTGACAGAAATCCAGCAAGGGTGTATGAATCAGCAGGAATCTGGGAACAAAACAGGAACCAATCTATCAGAATGAAGGCCCTTCTCTTCCCTTCCTTAATCTGCTTCCATCCTTTTATAAGGTATTCAATACACTCTTGAGAGTACACCAGTGGAAATTCATCTTAGACTCTTGATAAAAGGATTATCTTGACATGTTTTGTCTATTTAATAAATCTACTTGTATTATCTATATACAATTAGCTACTGAGCCATTCTTTTTGTCTTTTTTTCTAACAGTGGTCCATCTCTAGCCCTTGTTTTAGTAAGAGACCATGGCTTACAACACTGGAAAGAGTTAATTGGACCAGGTAGCATTGAAAAAGCCAAAGAATATCTTCCAGAGAGGTAGGATTCATATCATGGGTCCCAAACTTTTTTCATGGGAGACATTTTAATTTATTTTTGGATATGGGTACAGGAACCACAGCTTTAGTCCAAGGGAGGCTCTCAGGAAAACTTTTTTTCCTGATTATGACCAGAGGCCCAGCCCAGTGGCAGCCCAACTAAAGCCAAGGTTTTGCAGAAGAAGGTTGTGGGATGCTTGGTGTGAGGCTGGGAAGTAAGTGGTGGGGACCCAGCCAAAAGGCCATCTCTTGCCCTTGGTAGGAATTGATTCAGGAGAAGAAAGGCCCTCCCTTCAAGTGAGTAAGAACAGAGATGCTCTATCAGATACAGCAAGCTTGACATACATGTTGGTATAATAAATAACAATACTAATGAAGCATCACATCACACAACTTTGAAATGTTTTCTTTTGGGTAGGATATCTGGAATCTGACTTGTTCTGCATGGACACATTTTACCCCTTGTTTAGCCCTACAATTACCATATAGGATAATAGGAGTTGGACAGTCTGTAAGTGGTATGAGCAGAATGCCATAAAACCTCTTAATGAAGTGTAGCGTAGAATGCAAGACATGGCATCTGAGACAGGAATTCCTATCAACTCAAGGCTTATGCTTGTAGCCATACTGTTCTAGAAATTATGGTTTCACATGTGGAGGTAGTGAGCAGCACAGAGACATTTTCTCCAGGTGTAGGTACTCAGTGAGTGCCCCTCTCTACCTCACTATTACAGTGAGGATTCCAGCCAGAGTCCTTATGACCCTATGTGGCTACAAGTTCACAGCTAATCTTGACTGTTATTTTTTTATTGGTTCCCCCTTCTTCCATTTCCTCTACCCAGTTCTTTCCGGTTGCTTTTGAAAGAACTCAGCAGAGCTCTGCCCTTCTCTGCACTTGGGTTTCAAATTCTGCCCTGCATCACTTCATCTGAAATATGGTCACTTGCATAAAGGAGAAACAGAGCAACCGCTCATTCTCGTCACCTACTCGTTCTATCCCATCCTCCTCCACACACTTTCCCCCCAGTAATCTTCTAACAGATCCACAGAGGCTCAGCTTGCTCCATTGAGCAGAGATACCTTGTGGTGATACCTTCACTGTGCAAATCCCCCACCCCTGGCAATCCCAGTCTCCAGGGCTCTGGGGCTACAAGGGTCTTCAAATCAGAGATGTGAGAACTGCCAAGGGTCAAGTGGGAAAGTCAAATTGGATAAGACAAAAAGGAAATCTGAATGCATCAGCAAAAGCAACGAGGTAAGAAGGGGGTCTAAGGAGAGAAAACCAAGTTACCAGTGAAGTCAGTTTATTAATAGGAAAGGACATTATTCCCTATGGCTGGATTTTGTGGGTTGGGCTATGTGTAAAGGGCAGAAAATGAAATAAGCAGAGTGTATATCCTCTACTGAAATATATGTAGATAAAGAGAGGGGGGAAAAGGGCTACTGACAAAAAATCAAGGAACAACAATTGATTCAGGAGGTATATGTGTTCATCTATTGTAGAGGAAGCAGAACCAGGATAACTTGCCTAACCCAGGAGTGCCTGGGTGGCTCAGTTGGTTAAGCGTCTTGACTCTTGGTTTCGGCTCAGGTCCTGGTCTCAGGGTCATGGGATCGAGCCCCACATAGGGCTCTGCGCTCAGCAGGGAGTCTGCTTGATATTCTCCCTTCCTCTTCTTCTGCCCCTCCCCCTACTCACACACTCTTTAAATAAGTAAAATCTTAAAAAAAAAAACACACAAAAACTGCCTAACCCAACATGTCCAGTACCATCAGCCTCACTCCTGCCTCTTTACACATAGCCATCCTGTATGCTCCTCTCTTATCACTGTGCTTACTCTGCTGGAGGCTCCTTTGCAGTGTCTCCTGGATTCAGTATTTGTGATTTGGGGTCTTTGGTATAGAGTCAAATGCCATCTCTAGTGCTTGATAATATTTAGTGATGAAGGAAGGGAAAGGAATATTTACTGAGAGCTTAATATGCACCATATATTTCAAACATATCATCTGATTACATCCTCAAAATCTCCTTCCAAAGCAGGTTTATTATCTTATTTATATTTGACACAACTAAAGCACAGAGAAGTTAAGTAATTGACCAGAGACACATAGCTAGCAAGCAGTGCAATAAGCATTCTACAGTGTATGCTTTTTCCCTGCACCAAGGCACCATTCCTTCTTTCAGAGTTATCTGTCAATAGTCGTATCATAATTATTTCATTGTTTATGTTCTTTCTTCCTAAAGGCTGTTAAACTTCCTTGTAAGGAAGGAGTATAATTATTGCCTTTTGCACACTGTCTAGATCAGGAATGAGTTGTTTGATGACTTTTGGACAATTTATATAGTGTTCTGTTGTGTTAGTTTATACTACATTATGTTACGCTCTAACAGTGCTTAACTTGACTTCTTTTTCAAAGTTTATGTGTACGATTTGCAATGGAAGATTTGCCCATCAACCAGTTGTATGGAAGTGATTCATTAGAAGCAGCTGAGAGGGAAATACAGTATTTCTTTCCTCCTCAAAGCACTTTAGCACTGCTTAAACCTCATGTAACACAGGAACAAAGAGGTAAATATTTCGAAATAAAAATCAATGTGTACATTTCCTTCAGATTTTGTAAAAACTTTCAAACTATGGAAAAGCTAGAGGAATAATTCAACAAACATCCACATCCCTCGATCTAGATTTAACAATGAACTTTTGTCATATTTGCTCTCTTGCCCTATTTCCCTCTTCCTTCTCTCTGTCTCTCTTACAATTAAAATGAAATTGAATTTTGTGAAGTCCTTTTCAGAATTCATGAAGATGACAATGTTTTTCTCCATAGATATATTAATAGGAAAGATCATGTTCATGATATTTCTAATATCGAGCCATTTTTCCATTCCTGGATAAACTTCACTTAGTCTTGAGGTATTTTTTAAATGGGTTTTTAGATTCTATTTGCTTATATTTTACTTGGGATTTTTCACGTTGAGACAGTGAGATTGGTCTGTCCTTTTCATTTTTTTGTGCAAGGTTTAGATAACAGTGTAATACTACTTCATAAAAAATGTGCATGTCTTCATTTGTGGTACTCTGAAGGAGTTTAAGCAGCAGAGGGGTTGATATTTGAAGATTTGGTAGAGTTTTCCTATGAAAACATCTGGGCCTGTTGCTTTTTTGTGGGATAATTCTTTGACCACTTTCTCTGTGGAGAAAGTCTTCTATGGAAATGGATCTATTTAAACTTTTTACCTCTACTATAGTTAGAGTTAATTTTTGCTAAGTTGTATTTTCCTAGGAAATTATCCATTTTGTCTGTATAGAGTTCACGGTTTCTTATTATCATGTTTAATTTCCTCATTTTCAATGATTATTTCCACCCTGCCATTTCTTCATTTGTTGTCTTTCAAACAAACAGAATTTTATTTATTTATGAGTTTATTTATTTTTTATTTTTTATTATTTTTTTAGATTTTATTTATTTATTTGACAGAGACAGACACAGCGAGAGAGGGAACACAAGCAGGGGGAGTAGGAGAGGGAGAAGCAGGTTTCCTGCCGAGCAGGGAGCCCGATGCGGGGCTCGATCCCAGGACCCTGGGATCATGACCTGAGCCAAAGGCAGACGCTTAACGACTGAGCCACCCAGGTGCCCTTATTTATTTATGAGTTTTATTTTCTGTTTTCAAACTCATTATTTTAGGTTTTTTTTAAAAAAATTTTTGCCTTTGATTCTCTAGGAGTTTTTTAAAATGCTCTTCTTCTAGCTTTTTAAATTGGATATTTAATTCATTTATTTCCATTATTTTTGTCGATATATATTTTTGAAGTTATACATTTTCCTTGATTATTGCTTTAATTTCTTCTGATTACCCCATAGATTTTAATGCATAGTGTTTTCATTAACATTTTTTTTTTTTAGAAATTCTGCACTGTGCCTACAATGTTCTTTCTCTATTTGTCTGTATGGTGATCATATCTTATTTTTTCTGTACTGAACACAAAGGTTGGCCTTTCTGGAAGTCATCTCTGACCTTCCCAGAGAGTTAATAGTTTACTTGCCTGTGGTTCCAGGAGCCTTTTACATTGCTCTTTATAAAAATGACCACCTTTTCAAGCTGTGTTTCTAGGCCCAGCCCTCTGAGCAGACAAGATCTGGAAGAAGTGTTTAATGTTCCATTCACATTTGTTCCCACAGCGCCTTTCATAGGGCAGAACCTGGCTGCTGCCTTTATAGGAGGAGAAGTCCAGTCTTCTTCTGGCTATCGGTTGTGCTCAAAGTCGACCTTTAGAGACCAGCACGGCAGAACAGCACTTCTAAGTGCTTTTGATCTGGACCAAAGAAAAGACTGTTTTACCAGAAAGCTCCTAATCCCTCATTTGGTTCACTGAATGTAGCCTTTAAAGTTTAGGCTGTTGGTGAGATTTTTAGTGCCTTGCTACTTCAGGGAGAAGTGTTCAGATGGGCTCTCCCCTTCGATCCATATCTAGAAGGACTTCCTTGACATTTGCAGCATGGAGATGAAAACATGGCTTCACTTTCAGCCAGAAGCATACCCCTCCCGCCCTCCTTAGAGTCTATGAGATGTTTCCGGTGGGTTCTGGAAGGTGCATCTCGGAGACTGAACATCTGCATTACTGTATTAACGTTGTTCTGGATGTCAGCTCGATGTTGATCTGATGCTTTTCAGTTCAATTTAGTTTAGCATAGTTTTAGCTCTTTAAGCCACAGTATGCAAGTAAAATGATTACTTTCCTTAGTTATTTCAGTCTACTTGAATATGGAACAAAAGTGGAGGCACTCTACAAGATTACCAAATATCTGTTTTCTCTAGAGGAGATCTTGAAACTTATTAGAGAGGCTGGATTTGAAATAACACAGATGAAGGAAATGCTCCTAAATGAAGAAGAAGCAGAAAAAATTTATTCAAAAATAAAAGGAAAAGACTTTTATCAAGATGTATTGGAAATGTTATCTGAGTAAGTTTCTGATATATAGTTCTTTGCATTATAAAAGTAGTAAATATTCATTATAGAAACTGAAACATACAAGGGGCGCCTGGGTGGCTCAGTTGGTTAAGCGACAGCCTTCGGCTCAGGTCATGATCCTGGAGTCCTGGGATCGAGTCCCACATCGGGCTCCCTGCTCAGCAGGGAGTCTGCTTCTCCCTCTGACCCTCTTCCCTCTCGTGCTCTCTATCTCTCATTCTCTCTCTCTCTCAAATAAATAAATAAAATCTTTAAAAAAAAAAAAGAAACTGAAACATACAAAATGTAATTTAAAAATTCCATTCATTAAAAGATAAAGGCACCCTATTAATATTTGGGGTTCATTTCTATTTCCTTCCTTCACTACCTTCTTTTCTCCTTCCTTCCTTCGTTTCTTTAGGTCTTAACATTAGGTATAGAGATGATCTGGGTTTTAATCTCTGCTTTTAAGTCCCTGCTCTGTCAACATATTTAATCTGTGCCTCAGTTGCCTCATCTGTAAAATGGAGATAATAATAGTATCTATCTCTTTGTTTGTTGTGAGGGTTATATAATTGATACATTAAAAATACTCAGAACAGTGCCTGGCATATATTTCTAGAATTAAACTACAGCACTTTTCTAGCACAACAATCTGTTGGAAGGGGGAGAAGTGGAAAAACAAAAAGAAAGCACAAAATCACACTGATAAGGACAAAGAATAAAGACAAAGCATGGTATTCTGTCTTTAGCTGTATATGCAATCTCTATAGGTGTAAATGCTCAGATTGTCTGAAAGCATTCTTATTTGCAGGGGTCCATCTTTGGTCATGGTTCTGACCAAGTGGAATGCTGTTTCAGACTGGAGACGATTGATTGGTCCTGTAGAACCAGATGAGGCAAAACTACTGTCCCCAGACTCTATCCGAGCCAAGTTTGGACGAAGTGTTTTGAAAAATGCTGTCCACGGATCATCTAATACCTATGAAGCAATGGAGAGCATTACTAGAATTTTTGAAGAATTTGGTCCTGAGAATACTGAGGGAAACGAAAGTACAGTACCTCTTTAATTATTGTTTTCTTTTCTTTGCTTATTACTGTGACTGAGCCCAGGACAAGACTGTCCCAGAAAGACCAGAACTTTCCCCATATCTGTGAATCAGATTTTATTTCCCGCTAGACACTCTGTGCTGTTCCATAGCAGGCTTGAAGCTACGTAACATGTATATGGATTGAGTTTACTTAGCTGTTGATAGAAAGTTTGGAAACTTTTCTGTCCTGGGCAATGTGGGAAACAGCCTAAGCTAGGTGGCTTTTCCCATTAAACCCACTTTCCTTCTTTTTTTTCAAAGAGTAGGCTCACAAATATATACCACTATGGGTCTGACAGCTGCCTGGAATAAGACTGTAGTGGCATGTACTGCATGGAGCACTGGGTGTTATACGCAAACAATGAATCATGGAACACTACAAAAACTAACGATGTAATGTATGGTGACTAACAACATAAAAAAAAAAAGACTGTAGAGCCTCTTCGCATGTGGAGGGTCGTCCCCACTTGGATGAGCCAAACTGAAAATCAGTATCCAGAGCATAATGAGAAAGCAATGTTAAATGGAGAAACCCCTCCACACCCAACCAGGTTCCTAGGGGAGAGAAGTGTACATTGTTCCCTTAATATTGTCATTTAGGCTGTGATTTCCCCCAAATAAGAACATTGAATTAAAATATTAAGTCATAAAATAAAAATACATTTGGGCACAGTGCAGCTCATTCCATAAGTCTCACTCAATTATAGACAAAGGCATGAGTGTACAACCCATAATCATTTATGTTGGGAAAATATGAATTGTGTGTCTGCTTGAACTGCAAATTCTTGGTTAATACAAAAGTGGCTGAATGGAGGTTGTTGCCTCCAGAAAAGTGCAAATTGAATGGGGAGACAAAACTCAAAGAAACAACATCTAATTATAATCACTATAAGACAGTACATTATTAAACATGCCAGTGATACATGACTAGTGGGGAGGGAGGTGAGTGGAACTACATTCTGTTTATAGTATCAGTTAGCAATATGGTGTAGATCTATGCTAACATCTTCATATCCCCCCCTTTTTTGATGAGGGGAGCATTATGAATAATATGGGGGATTTCAAATTAGTGTATAATTAAGTGCTGAATCGACAGGTGTATGTTTGATGGTTAGGAGCTGGAGAAGGTAAGGAACAAAATCAATCTTAAAAAGTAGGGAGGATTTTCAAAATCAGAGGTAAGGAAGCAAGAAAGAGAAGTCATTTTAAAAGTTTTTAAACCATCATATACATATATGCTTGATGCTTATATATGAAGACACATTGCTGGTTTCTGTCTTGCTATGTCTACTGTGCTATATCTACTATACTCTATCATATCACTTTAAGGTATTGTCAGTCTGTTTCAGACATTCAAGAATCATTTATTCGGCTCTTGCTATATGCTGAACATTGTTGCAAGACTGAATATACACAGTCCTTGTCCTAAAACTCTAGAACTCTAAAAGCAGGAGATAGAAAATTAACATGTGCTCTAGGGTTCTTAGGGGTAAGCACAGAGCGCTTTGAGCAGATGCATATAAGAGATGGAGAAGGAAAATGATATGCAAGCATTGCAATAAAATTAAAGATTACAGCAACCTTAACTAATAATAGAAATGGTCAGTTAGTGATAAGTGGAATGATGAGAGGATTCTTAGAAAGCTACCTTACACCCACAGGACTTGATGACTGACAACCAAATAAGTGGGAAAAAATAAAGCTTCCTGGCTTGAGTGACTGGGGAAATGACCTAACCATTCCCAGACAAGGAGCTGAGAAGGGAGAAGTAGGTTGGAAGGAAATACTATGAGTTCTGTTCTGGTCATAACTCTCAATGTGAATTGAGAGTTAAGTTCAGCTCTCAGAGCAGGGGAGTCAAGAGGGCTCCATTGGAGTGATGGAGAATGTCAGCAAAATGGTGACATAGGCAGCTCCAAGCCCACATCCTTCCAAAGGAACATTGAAAAAACAACCAGAAACTGTCAGAACTCTGGAAAATAATCAAAGGTTTACAGCAACCACGTGTGTGCTGAATCAAAGAAAAGGAAACTTAAAAATGATATGAAAGTTTTGTAACATTTTTACTTGCCCTACCACTTGCCCAGCATGGTGATAGTCTTGAAGATCACAGCCTGTTTGCAGTGTGTGACCCGTGTCTCTGGCTCCAGAGAGAGGAGAGCAGATATTATCTACAAATTACTGTGTTTTTCTGTTCTATTTGGAGGCTACCTGAAGGATGACACAGGCACTCATGTGTTTCACCAAACCCGGAAATTGCTCAGGGAGGAAAAGTGTTGGACATTGATGAAAAATATTGTATGGTGATCAAAAACCCTACAGCTGTCTGAGGACAAAGATTATGGTTGACATATACAATAGACCACCTAAAGCTAGGGAGGAAAAACTGGGGAGAGAGATTTTCTTTGGGAAATGGGGGCATTCAGAAGCAATAATGCATACTAGGGAATTTAGAGGGCCATGCACATGCCCAGAACAAGATACATGCTCAGAGAAGATCTGACAGACCCCCATTTTTTACCATTGGCTGATAAATAGGCTTAGTACAAGCAGGAAGTGAAGGCTGAGACAGAATAGTAAATGGCCTGGCTAAGTGTTTAAAGAAGTGCTGAGGACAGAGCCAATCTACCGAGACTTGGAGAAGTGGTTTGTTGTTGTTTTTAAACTCCTGATTTTCAAGGAGGTCTAAGTTAAAACATTGGCTGAACACAAACCAAGTGTTCACCAACCAAGAAAAGCAAACCCTGGGGAAGAAGGAAAATCTGATTTCCAGAGTTACCACCTTATAGTAGTTGAATGTCTAGTTTTCAACAACAACAACAACAATAACAACAACCACAAAACATACAAGGAAATAGAAAAGTATGGCCCATCACAGGAAAAAAAGTTGACAGAAACCATCCCTGAGGAAGCCCAGACATTGGACTTACTGGATGAATACTTTAAGTCAACTGTCTTAATATGCTCAAAGAACTGAAGGAAACCACGGATAAGAAACTAAAGGAAAACAGGAAAATAATGTCTGAACAGAATGAGAATATCAACAAGGAGAGATTAAAAATAAACCAAATAGGAATCCTGGAGCTGAAAAGTGCAATAACCAAATTAAAAAATTCACTGGAGGGGGTCAAGACAAATTTGAGCAGACAGAAGAAAAAAAATCAGTGAGCTAGAAGATAGACAGTAGGAATTATCCAGTCTTAGGAGTGGAAATAAAAAAAAAGAATGAAAGTGAACAGAGCCTTAGGGATCTTTGGGACACGATCATGTAGACCAACATATGCATTATGGGAATCCCAGAAGGAAACGAGTGAGAGAAAGGAGTAGAAATAATGGCTGAAAAGTTCCCAAATATAATGAAATGCCTTAATCTACACATCCAAGAAGCTCAATGAAATCCAAGCAGAATCAAAAAGAGCTCCACACTGAGGTATATTATAGTCAAACTGTCAAAAGCCAAAAACAAAGACAGAATCTTAAGATCAGTAAGAAAGAAATGACTTGTTGTATACATGGAATCCTCAATAACAGCTTATTTCTCATAAGAAACCACAGAAGCCAGAAAGCAGTAGGATAACACATTTAAATTATTGAGGGGGGGAAAAAAACCTGTCAACCAAGAATTCTATATTTGGCAAAAGTATCCTTCAAGAGTAAAGGTGGAAGTAAGACATTTCCAAGTTAACAAAAACAAAAGGAATTCATTACTAATAGACCTGTCTACAACAAATGCTGAAGGGAGTTCTTTGAAATGAAAGGACACTAGACAGTAACTCAAAGCCATATGAAGAAATAAAGCACACGGGTAACAATAACTACATAAGTAAATGTAAAAAAGCCAATATTATTGTACTTTTGGTTTCTAACTCCTCTTTCTTTCCTATAGCATATAAAAGACAATGATAAAATAATGACTATAAGCATGTGTTAATGGGCACACAGTGTTCAAATATATTTTATAATAATATAAAAGAGAGAGAGAGAGAGCAGGTGCAAAGTGCTAAAATCAGAAGCGGGAGAAGGGACATTACTACTGAATTTACAAAAATAAAAGAGGGTTATAAGAGAATTCTATGAACAGTTGTATACCAACAAATTGGATAAACTAGGTGAAACGCAGATTCCTAGAAAGGCACAAACTAGCAAAACTGACTCAAGAAGAAATAGAAAATCTGAATCGACCTATAACAAGTAAGGAGAACAAATCAGTAATTAAAAACTTGCCAAAAAAGAAAAGCCCAGGACTAAATGGCTTCATTAGAGAATTCTATCAAACAATTAAATAAAAATTAACTCTGATTCTCAAGCTCCACAAAAAAATTGAAAAGGAGGGAAAACTTACTTCATTCTATGAGGTCAGCATTACCCTGAAAAAAGCCAGACAAAGAGGCTTCATGAAAAATTACGGAGCAATATGCCTTATGAATATATCAATGCTATAATCCTCAGTAAAATACCCACACACTGAATTCAACAGCATATTAAAAGTATTATACCCCATGATCAAGTGAGATTTATCTTAGGAATACCAGGTAGTTCAACATATGAAAATCAAGGAATGTAATACCCACACTAATAGAATAAAGAAAAAAGATATTATCTCAATTGATACAGGAAAAGCATTAGACAAAATCCAACACCCTTTCATGATAAAAACACTTGATAAATTAGGAATATAAAGAACTTCTTCATCATGATAAAGGCCATATGTGTAAAACCCACAGCTAACATCGTACTACAATGGTGAAACGCTAAAAGCTTTTCTTCTAAGATCAGGATCTCTGCTTTTGCCACTTCTATTTAACATAGTATTGGAAGGTCTAGCCAAAGCAATTAGGCAAGAAAAAGAAATAAAAGCATCCAAATTGGAATATTATTAGCAGGTAGCATGATCTTATATCTAATAAACCCTGAAGAAACACACACACATACAAAAAATTTGTTGGAGCTAATTCTGTAAAGATACAGGATACAACATCAACACACAAAAATCATTCATGTTTCTATACACTAGCAATGAAAAATCCCAAAAGGAAATTAAGGAAGCAATTCAATTTACCATAGCATCAAAAATAATAAAATACTTAGGGTTAAATTTAGTCAGTGTACAAGTACAAGAATTTTATACTGAAAGAAATGAAACAATGCTGAAAGAAACTAAAGAAGACATGAATAAATGGAAAGACACCCTGTGTTCATAACTTGGAAAACTTAATATTATGAAGATTACAATGCTACCCAAAGTGATCTACAGATTCATTGCAAGCCCTAAAAAAAAAAAAAAAAAAAAAAAAATCCCATTAGTGTTATTTACAGAGATGGAAAGACCCATCCTAAAATTCATATGAAATTTTGAAGGATGCAGAAGAACCAAAACAATCTTGAAAAACAACAAAATTGGAGCACTCCCAATTCTTGATTTCAAAGCTTACTGCAAAGTGACAGTAGTCAAAACAGTGTGGTTGTTAAGGTCTAAGGATAGACCGATGGAATAGGCTTGAGAGCCTATAAGTAAACCTACACATTTATGATTAGTTGATGTTCAACAAGGGTGCCAAGATCATTTAGTAAAAAGAGAATACTCTCTTTAATGACTAGTACTGGAAAGACTGACATTTACATTTAAAATAATGAAGTTGGACCATCACCTTATACTATATACAAAAATTAATTCAAAATGGATCAAAGACCTACATTTTAGAGCTGAAACTATAAAACTCTTAGAAGAAAACATAGGGGAAAATCTGCAGGACATTGAAAAGCCCAGGACTAGATGGCTACAAAAGAAAAAGGAGATAACTTGGTCTTAAAAATAAAAACTTTGTGCATCAAAGGACACTATCGAGAGAGTGAAAAGACAACCCTCAGAATGGAAGAAAATATTTGCAAATTCTGTATCTGATAAGTATTTAATATCAGAAATGGATAAAGGGCTTGAATAGACCTTTCTTCAAAGAAGATCAACAAATGGCCAACAAGCACATGAAAAGGTCCTCAACACAATTAGTCATTAGAGAAATGTAAATCAAAACCACAGTGAGATGCCACTTCACACCTAACTAGGATGGCTGCAATAAACAAGGGAATATAACAAGTGTTGGTAAGGATGTGGAGAAATTGGTACCCTTATGCATTATGATGGGAATATAAAATGGGGGATGACAGTGTCGCACTTCCTCAAAAGGTTAAACACAGAATTACATCTGACCCAGCAATTCTACTCCTAGATACATATCCAAGAAAATTGAAAACAGGGATACAAACACTTGTACACCAGTGTTCAATAGCAGCATAATTCACAATCGCCAAAGGGTGGAAACAACCCAAGTGTCCGTCAATAAAAGGTTGGATAAACAAAATATGGTATATACCCACAATGGAATATTATTTAGACATAAAAATGAAGTATTGATAACATACTACAGCATGGATGAACCTTGAAAACATTATGTTAAGTGAAATAAGCCAGACACAAAAGGACAAATATTGTATGATTCCACTTCTAAGAGATACTTCAGATAGGCAAATTCATAGGAACAGAAATTTGACTAGAACTTAGTAGGTACGGTTTCCTTTTAGTGATGAAAATTTTTACAAACAGATTGTGATGGTTGCAGACAATGTGAACATAATTAAGACCACTGATTTGTACACTTGAAAATAGTTAAAATGGTAAATTTTATGTTATATATATTTTACCACAATAAAAATATTTTTAAAATAAAATAAAGAATAGTTCCTCAGGAAAGCACAAAGATCTCTCAATAGAGTTCTCCAAAGCCCCTCCTAAAACTATACAAAATTAGTCTTGTCTTACATTTATTTTTATTTATTTTTTTAGAGATTGGGTATAGAGCATATGTTTATTTTTTTTCTTCAAGTTTTTATTTAAATTCCAGTTAGTTAGCATACAGTGTGATATTGGGTTCAGGAATAGAATTTAGTGATTCATCACTTACATACAACATCCAGTGCTCATCACCACAAGCACCCTCCTTAATGCCCATCCCCGCCCCCCACCGCTCCTCCAGCAACTCTCAGTTTGTTCTCTATAGTTAAAGAGTCTGTTTTATGGTTTGCCCCTCTCTCTTTTCCCCTCTATGTTCATCTGTTTTGTTTCTTAAATTCCACATATGATCATATGGTAGTTGTTTTTCTCTGACTGACTTATTTCGCTTAGCATAATACTCTCTAGCTCCATCCAAGTCATTGCAAATGGCAAGATTTCATTCTTTTTTATGGCTGAGTAATAGTCCATCGTGTATGTAGAACACATCTTCTTTATCCATTCATCAGTCGATGGACATTTGGGCCCTTGCCATAATTTGGCTTTTTTACAACACATTTCAAAAAAAAAAAAAATGCGTGCAATTCCAACATCAAAATCCTTAAACAAAAGTAAGCTTTTACTTTAGTTTCTTGAAGAGATACTAACTAAAGGAATTTTTTCAAACCAAATATAACCAAGAAATTCCTAAAACTCTTCGTTGGGCACCCCTGTCCTCAGAGTCCCCCTGAGCCCTGTAGCCCCTTCCCCAGTCACCCCCCGTGCCTCCCCCTCTAGCCTCTCCATCATGTTCCATAAAGAGCTGCACCCTCAGTCCTTTTGTCTTTCTCAGTTCCTTCAAATTCTATTCCCCACCTTTGGCTTGACTAGCAATTCTGAATCCTGGAGAGGATTGAGTAGAAAGCTGTGGTTACTTACAGTTAATATTTTTAACCCTGTCAAAAGAATTTGTTCATGAACTCATTGGGTTGTAAATCCTTGCTGGTTGCTTACTTGCTGAATCAGGCAGTATTATCTGTAAAGAAAAGAGACCATCTCCAGAGCTTGGTGATTCTAGCACATGTCAGGGATTTGTGTGCAAAATGGAAACTCGTAATTGCTTTAAAATTAGCTTTGTAATGTATCTTATCAACTGTATTCTTTCTTTTCTTAGGACTTTGAGAAGATAATGTGTGTAAGTTCACACTGGCATATAACCATGTGGCACAGCTTCCTGGGAGGAATAAAAAGGAAGATATTCTTTGGAGGAAAACTCGGTGTTACCTCAAGTTAAAAACTCACCTCCAAGTGAAAAACATGTGGTTATGCATAATAACAATAAAAAATGTGACCTTCAAACAAATTTTAATGTTTATCTTTACCCTATCTTTCAGAGAGGATTTAGGGTGGCTTATATAAATGCACACAAGATTGAACAAAATAGTTGGGGAGGAACATGGAATATGGGGAAGAAGAGTGTAGGATGGAGCCAGGGAAGCCAGGAGTGGAGTTATATACAAAATGCATAGAAGGTCCTAACATATATTTAGAGGTTGGCCAAAAATTTAACTCTAAGCATTTCAGCCATAAACTCTGAAAAGGTGTCATGTTGATTTACAGAATTTGCAATCTAACTATAGGACAAGTGCAGGCCATGTACCTCCTTTCCTGACACTAAGACAATGCAAATCTCTCCAGGGATGAAGTTGATTATAAAGTTCCCACTTGTTTTGGCATTTTCCCCTCTCAGGATGTAATCTGATGATGTTACTACAGTGATGCACTTGAGCTTTTAGCCAGAGTTATATATAATTCCCAGCATGTTGGCTACGACACCCTCCTTTTCGTTCCATGCAAGAGAACATACTGGGATGCATGTGAGTGAGTCAAAGGATGACTTTCCATCCTAATTTTTAAACTCTAATGTTAAGATACAAACTCTGATTACTTAGTATTCTTTTTATCTTATTGTGATATGAACACTGAACACTGAGCTTTATCCTCCTAACAATTTTTAGGGGTAAAATGCTCTATTGTAGGTACAGTGTTGTATAGCAGATCTCTAGAGCATATTTGTCTTACTTAACTGAAACTTTAGGTCTATTGATGAATACTCCCCAGTTCCCCCTCTTCCCAGCCCCTGGTGACGACCATCCCTGCCTTTGATTTTATGAATATGACTATTTTAGATACCTCATAAAAGTTTTTGTTGCCTGTGTCATTAACGTCATATCTATGAAATCACTGCCAAGACCAAGTCCTGAAGCTTTTCCCGTTTTTTTGTTTTGTTTTGCTTTGTTTTGCTTTGCTTGTGTCTTATGTTGAAGCCTTTGTTTTAGAGGAGGCTGGACCTGGACAGGTTGTGGCCCACAGGTACCCTCGCTGGTGCCTCGGCCTGTTGTCCCCACAGTGTAGACATGGGGCTGGGGACCCGGGCTACCTGGATGCTGAGAGTCACATGGCTCGTGCTGTGCAGTTAGCTTCCCGATACCTTGTCTCAGGTACCCACACCCTCTAGGCCTGTGTGGCCAGGGCTACCCCACCCCACCCCCCGACCTGAGCATCTGCCTGGGGCAAGTGGTTCCCCCCACCATACCCTTGATGTAGAGGCTGGGTAGATTGTGAGAACCAAACCCCATGTAGCCCTGCTGCTTTTACCAGATGCTTCTCTCCAGACCTGGATTTTCTCATCTGCTCTCTCTGCACTGGGAAGAAGGGGAAGCCATGGTTTCTGCCATCTCAAGCGGCCACCTCTGTACTCCCCTAGTTGCTAGGCTGTGGTTGATCCATCCAAGCTCCGAGACCCAGGTTCTTCCTCTGGGATCCCTCTCAGGAAGTTTGGGGCACTGGACATGCAAACCAACTCTTGGAGAGAAGCCAAGGGTTAGGGGGGTTCTTTCTGATTATATGCTGCCTTTGCTGGGGTGGGGACTCAGGTCACAGGGTGTCCCAAATCTCCCTACTGGCTTCACTGAGTCTGGCTTTGTGGTCACCTAGAGTGGAGGAGCTTTTCACTTAGTTTCTGGATTTCTTGCAAAGGAGATTTGTTCATGAACTCTTGTTGAGTTGGTGAGTTTGCAGAGGGAGGGATGGCCCAGGGCTTCCTACTCACCATCTTGCTGACATTACCTCTTGATTATTTAGTATTAGTAACAAGTTGCTCACCTCAAAACTCTATTGTTCCAACATTATGTTTGAGAAGCACATGTAAATTATTAGTAGGGATATTTCTCAATTGTTTTTCAGAATGCATTAAAAAAACTAGGGTAAATCAATTACTGTAATTACTGGCTTTTTTTTTTTTGATTGTGCAGAAGACTAAATATAGTAAAAATCTTCACCTTACTTTCTTCATATTCCCCACTCCTTCAGATCGAATACTATTGTCTGCCACTTTATATGCCTGATAATATTTGGGTATTCATAATAGAATTGTGTTTAAGGGCACACTGTTATGTCCAGTAGCACACTGGACCGCTCAGAAATGGTGCAGAACTTCAAAAAGCATTCAAACTCTCTTAAAATTAATAACATATTTCACCAGCAGATGGCGTGTTTCACTCAGTTGTCCATATATGTGTACCTATCTGTATCAAGATTTTATAAACAAGACATAGGGAAAGGCTATTTTCTTAGGATTATACAATTAGTTTTGAGCTAAAGAGTCAGAAATCTGATAATCAATGTCCAAAGAGATATATTCAATGAAACCTTAATTTGTGTTGGCGTTAGTCTTGAGGTTGAAGTTAGGGTTGGAACGCAGAGGCACGAGGCAGGCACATGGGAGCTGCGGTTGGCAGGACCAGCGAATATCGTCTTGCCCCTGGGGAAAAAAGGTTAAAGAAGAGGATAGAACGTTGTCAGGGCCCAGCTAAGTGGGCTGATCTTGACTCTCAGCCGGACTTGCAACACAAAACGCATGTCTTGAGCCACTGTGGCTGAAGCAGTTGAGGACTACAAAATAGGATTATGAATTCCACTACATAAAACAACCCCTTTCCTCTAGAGCTGGCTTACTTGTGCACCGTGACCCTGCAGCCACAGTTTTCTTGATCTCCCCACTTAGTCCCCGTAGCCATCTTCCAAGACAGGAGTCCTGAAGCATTCTTGGTTAGAGCCTAATACTTCCCAGTGTCCCCTCCCTGGATCCTATTCTCTGTAAATAGATGCGCTGCAGAAAATGGACAGATTCCCTAAAATATGCTGTGCCCTATTCTGTGGCCCTCTTCCCAGACTCTCTTGTTGCTCTTTCTGCTCACTGGAGTGGATGCCCAGATACTGATTCCTGCTTGAATTGTGTTTGAACTTGCTCATCCCTTGGAAACTACTTTGGATGACCTCCAAAGTCCGTTTTTTAACGCTTTTAATAAAGGGGGAAAGTTGACTAAGCAATTGTCCATGTGATTTTCAGCTGCTGAAATAATCCAATGACATAAATAATTTGACATTATTAGAATACTAAAATGTTAATGAATTTTAAAAATGCATCAGTTTGATTCAACAACGGCATTTTAGATATCCCCCGACACATGACGGAATTTTATTCATAATACCATTTTTTGCTTCATCCCAGTTCTTTACACCTCATCATGTTATTCATGTTATTCCAACTTTGTGACACTTGGAGTCAGCCCTCTGGTTATGAGTCTTCCCTAAATTTAATTGCTAATAAAGCATGCTCTTTTTCCTTTTCAATGTACATCACTAATGTGATCCAAATTCACCATTATAAAGTGGTTCTCACCTAGACACTGCAGCTACATATTTCAGGATTATCCAGTCATAAAACTGATCTCATACAAATATTGGGCTAGATGTGCCTATGCTTATATGCTTACCCTTGACACTGTGTGGGCCTGCAAAGGCAAAATCACACATCCTGGACTTGGTTCCTGCCATGAATGGCCTCATTAATTACCTCATCGTTGCCATTCCTTACACTCTAGTACAAAGAGACCTCTCTCCGGTAGAAGGGTAAATTCCGTAAGACTGTAGTTGTGATTGGAGCATTTTCCCTTCAATAAATTTGAAATTAAACAGAGAAGGCATAAAGACATGAAGACGTAAAAGTTTTGGGGTTTTACAGATTCAAATAGTTTAGAGATGACAATTACAGAAGTTGACAGAGACGTTTGTTGCTTGACGCCAACCACAGGGACCGTGACTAACCAGGTCTCCAGACATCACAGTCTGAAACGCATTGCGAGCCTTGCGCCAAGACCAGGCTGCCATGGGCTAGTCCGCATCCGTGACTGAGTGGGGCAGGCCGCGAACACAGAGCTGGACCTGGGAAATGAAGGACTCCTTGATGTCCGGCTTCCCGCAGCCTTGCCCAATTCTCCTTAAGACGTGAAGGAAGTCTGAAGCGCTTCCCGCCAACCTTCTTTCCCTCACACTGTCCACCCTGCTGGCCCTGTTTATCCCCCTTCCGTTCTCTTTCACAGGCATTTCCTCCAATGGAATCCTTCCACAGTTAACTTCATTTTGTGCTTATCAGTTAAAAGCCACAAAGTTGACAATGAACTAAAATTTTTGGTTGGCGTGTCTGTCCCATGACATATCTTTCAGGGTAAAATGCTTTTCAAAAAAATATTTTCCCGTCAGGAACTATGATCAGGATTGGCATATATCATTCTGTAACCAGAAGCACTAATTTGTTCTCTTATTGCTTTTCCTGTGGTGATAACGTGAGGCTTCCCTCTAATAGCCTGGCTTTATGTTACTGACAAACCAGAGCCCTTTGGTCTGTTAAGGTGAAATTGAGTAAGTTTGGGAGCCCAGATCTTTCTCTGACTACACCTGAGGCATCAGACAAGCGCTTTCTCCTGCAGGCTAGAGTGTGGCTTCTAAGGTCCCATTCAGCTTTTGCATTCCACAATGCCAAGTAACCATTTTTGCTTTTTGAATTGGTGATAACAGCAGGTAGAGACTTGTGGCAAAAAAAAGTGCCCCCCCTTTTTTTTAAATTCAGGGATTGGTTCCACCAAACAGAAGTACCCTAGAGCTAGCTCAAGAAAAGGAGTTTTTTTTATAAGTTTGTAATAGACAATCCTATAAGCATCCAAGGACAGAGATCAAAAGTGTGTTCACACTGCATTGGTTCCTTTCTTCCTTCCCTCCCTTCCTTTCTTCCTTCCTTCCTTCCCTTTTTTAAAGATTTTATTTATTTGAGAGAGAAAGAGAGAGAGAGGATGGGAGCGGGGGGGGGAGGGGCAGAAGGAGAGGGAGAAGCAGACTCCTTGCTGAGCAGGGAGCCGGACATGGAGCTCAACGTGGGGCGCGATCCCAAGACCCTGAGCTCACGACCTGAGCTGGAGGCAGACACTTAACCGACTGAGCCACCCAGGTGTCCTACACTGCTTTGGTTTCCAACTAGAAAGGAAGAAACTAAGGTTATTTGTATTCTCATGTGTCTTAAAAAGAAGGCTGGACTGAGGGGAAATCTATTGGCACGTCTGCTATACCCTAATTCTTTGGTTTCTCTAGCTGACCAGTTATACTATTAAATTTGATTCATGAAGAAAATTGAGAAGTTTGCAAAGGCTTTCCCCAGAAGTTAAGAAATTTATCATCTATCTATCTCTCTTATTTATCATCTCTCTATAGACTCTACCCTCTATGAGGTGCTTCATCACTCGTCCCCCAGCTTCCGAGTATTTGGAGAGTTGAGAATGTTGTCAGTGATGGCTCACAGAGGAAGAGCAGAGCTTTGCCCAAGGTGACATCCAGTTCCCAGCTGAAATTTATAAAGAAATATTGACAGGGTGAAACAATCTTAGTGAGGATTTGGAAGGTTAGCGTTTTTGCCCATCTGTGGTCCAACATCCTGATGGATAATTGGCACTATAATCAAGAACTTTCCTTGGTGGGCATACCCCTTGGCCCAGCAACGCTACTTAAACTGACTTCTCCTGAAGAACAAATCAAGGATGTGCACAGATATTAGTTATCAAGATGTCGATTCAGTTATTCAGTACGTTCAGTTAAGAAACAACCTGAATCTCTAATAACATAAGGCTTTGTCGAGTAACGCATACCATGGAATAAACCAGAGCCATTATAAATGAGGTGGTAATCAGCTTTATTGACATGAGAACTAGTCTGAATAAGAGGCTGAGTGAAGAAGGAAGATTAATCAACAGTATGTATAATAAGCTCCTAGGTTTTTTCCCCTCAAATCATTACGTAAATGCATAGGAAGCGCCTGGAAAATTGTATACCAAAATACGAACAGTGATTACCTCTGCAGAGCAATGAGTAGAATAAGGTAGGATTTTAATTCCACTATTTTTATTTTATGCATTTATTAAATACTTTATAGAAAATACGTGTTTACCATATTATTAAAAGACCAACAAAATTATTGAAAAAAATAAATGCCTGCAGTTGTCCTTAATTATGAGATTTGCCGATCCAAATATTGCAAAATAAGTTACTTTTTTCCTCACTAAAGTAATCCAACTCTCAAACAATTCTCATTTGAATACCTCAGCTTTCCTTTCCGTATATTTTTATTTTCCTCCTCTCACATGTATTTCGATGGAGAAAATATTGAAGGGAGAGAAAGAAACTTGGCTCTCACACAAAGGCCACTACTGTACTTGTCACATTACTCTCAGTGTGGGCTGATGTTCGCTTTTGACTTTTTCATAATAAATAAACCAAGTGGCCTGGTTCATCTTTTCTCATTTAATCAAACTGATATATGTGCCCAGTTACATCTTGTCTAATGTATAAGTGTGCTTAGCTAAGTATTGTATAATGTGTTAATGTTCCTAATGAAGTATTACACTCGTCTAATATTCAGTATGCGATTTCAGTTAAATATTTAAACAATGTTTAAATATGTAGTCCTCTCCAAACTCTTATAACCTTCAGGATTGTACTTAGGGTGTTGACTTTTTTTTTTACATATGTTTTTTCTCCACTTCCATGGAGAGTTCCATTTCTGATTCCCCTCCCCGGAGAATCCCTACAACACTGAGGAGGTAGGCTAGGCTGCCAATTCCTTTTAATGGCCTTGCGTAGGTTTCTTTGGTGTGGATGCTATGCTAAACCCCTCTCCTGCTTTCCTTAAGGGCCAGAGAAGTTTGGCCTCTAATGGAGCAGAAACATACACCGGGTATTTTATTGGTACCCTAATGTGGGTCCATCTACTGGACTCCTTCAACTCCAGTGCCCTGTGGTGGTGACAGAGAAGAGGGGAGCCCATGCCCGCATTCTTATTAACCCCATTTCTCCACTTTCCCTGGGCTTACCCACATACCTCACTTCTGTGTCTCAATGGCTACAGAGATGAAAGGAGATTATGTGTCTAATGATCTTGTGTGAGCACGACAAGTCACTTCACGCCTTCTCTGAGAAGCAGGGACATTGGGAAAGCTAAAGGAGATTTTATACTTCAGCTTTCAGATTGTTCCTCTACCTCCTTGAATGGAGAGGTGACTGTAGTTGTCGTTCCAAGCGCAGAGCTGGTGTGTGGCAGGGGTACCAGTGCGGGCTGAGAAGCAGGGACTTTGGAGGCCTGGCCCTCCCCCCATTGGGCCCACGGGAACTTTGTAAGCACCAGTTCTCTGCAGAGAGAAAAATTCTCTCAGGCTTGGCATCAAGAAACCTAGCATGTCCTGGGAGATGAGATAAGCACCACATCCAGGGGTGTAAAATTCTTGGGGGCTGAGTCACTGGTGCATAAATCGTAATAGCAGAAACGAATTCTGTTTCTGGTGCCACATAACGATTACTAATGAGAAGCATCGCGAATGTGAATTCAGAGCCTTGCCACCCCCGGCATGGTAGCCAGGAAACAAGGATCCAGATGTGGTGTGTCTGCCTTTCCCTTTTATTTATTATCATTATTATTATTTTAGTTTTTAGAGTTTCTAGCTAAAAATGAGCTGAAAGGTTCTTTGTAAAAAAAAAAGTCATTACAATTTTCCATATCCTGCTTTTCTAGATTGTTCCTCAATACCTCAATTTTCCATATCCTCCTTTCATCACAGAAATTCTTCCATGAACAGCAAACACATAAAGATCTTTCAGACATTCATTCCTCTTGCCTTCCTCCTTAGAATCATTGCATTTTCAATCACATCTTAGAATATCACGAACCTTCTAACAGCACAAGTCAAACTGAAATAAAACATATTGTGAAAAGAAAAATGAGTGTTTTGTTTGTAATATGGCATTTATTTTACAATGCACATATTAGGTCAAATGGTAAGAACCAAAAGCATCTTTTCCCCAAACAGAGATGTCCCAGAGTAGGCCCCACAAAGGCTACTCTGAATGCTGCCAGAAGCTTTGTCCACCAGCTTTCAGCTTTCACAGACCTTCCACACCAAAGGACATACCTACCACTACGGACTGTGGTGGCTGAAAAAGAAAAATGGAAGCAGATCATTAAGAAAAATGCTGCAAGATGTGTGTAGGAGGAGTTCTGCAGTTGTTAAGGCAAGGGGAGTGGGGCCTTCCCCAGGCTGGCTGGGCAGCGCCAGGCCTCAGCCTGAGAGGCAGTCTCCGTTCTGGAAGGCGGCTGGCTCACACTCTTTTGGGGTTTGTTCTCTTTTGGGCACTCCTAGCTTTAACGGTCTTCTTGGGGCTGGCTGGTTTGGGAGCAGGCGGCTTTCCCTTTGGCTTCGGGGTGTTGCTACGACTGGTACGCCCCGCTGTTCGCTTCTTGTCCTGAACGGTCCTCTGCTGTTCCTGCAGCCTCTCTTCCCACTGCTGGGAGGCAATTTGCACACATGACCATCAGAGACATTGCACTGTGTAATGCTGGGAAACTGATGTCAGAATTGATGCCATTTTTCCCCCCTGTAAGAGCTGAGTTGTGACAACAACGAATAAAATCGCCAGCCTGCATTGCTGGGCACTTGGCACACACCAGAGGATTTGAAAAGTGCTCAAGATGGGATGAAGTCTCGATACCCATTCATTTCACGGAAGCTCCCAACAGCCCTGCTAGGTTGGACACCACGGCGGTGGCTAGGAAACGGCACACACGGCTCCTTTGCAGCCGGTCACACAGCTGACAAATGTCAGAGCTGGGAACCAAATTCATCAGTCTGACTCCGGGGCCCAAGGCCCCAGGCCAGGCACTTTTGCCCCGCGGCCCTGTGCGGCGACATTTGTGCACTGCAACGCCTTCTAAAGAGGCTCTGACATGGCAGAGAGCAGAAGTTTACCCAGCCCACGAGGAAGGCCGGGGGATCTCCCAGCGCATTTGTGGGTGGGTTCACCTAATGCTCTTCCATCCA